TAACTTTAAAATAATTAAATTTTAATATTATAATATATGATAATAAAACAAATTAAATATAAAAAAATTAAAAATTATTATTTAAATTAAACTACATTCACTTACTTTATCTAGAAATTAAAAAAATATACATAACACAAAAAACCCAATCCATGTGTCAACATAATCTTTGTTAAAAAGAATACCCCTCCATCCCTTCACCTTCCTTGTTTCTCCGCTGTCATTTTTCCTCTTTTTTACCATTTTTGCTCCATTCAAGCTCCCTTTCTCCTTATCTACTCCTTTTTTTTGCAACAAATTTTATCTTTCTTTGCTTGGGCAGTGAGCAACAACAAGTTACTGCATAAGGCTGGCTCTAGGTGATTTGGGTCAAATAGATTTTCGTCCCACCAGCAAGTGCCGGAGCAGTAGTGCGCAATGGCAATGAGCAGCGGCACTGCAGCAGTCCAATCTCTCCCTCCGCTGCAGGCAATCCCTAAAGTAAAGAAGATTAGAGATCAAATTTATGTTTGGATTTCTAGAAGCCTCTTCTTCAATCTCCATGGAAGTAAAATCGAGATTTCAAATGATTTTACCATAAAATCATGATTTAATGATTTTACCCTCTGATTTTATGGGAATCTGATTTTAATATAGATTTTTACTCGAAATGTACATCTAAAATCATAAAATTGTATAATTTTATGATTTAGAACTCAATTTTAATAACCATGAGTATGACAGAGAATATATACATCTTCCATGAATTGTGCTCTCTCCCAAGGGTTTGGTGTGGGCGTAGTTTGATATAGCAGTTTAAAGGTAGCGATTAATAAATTTTTTTAAATAGTTAAGGATAAGTGTTTGGTAAATTTATTTTGTTTAGTAAAACTTTTTATTTAGTAATTTGAAACTAACGAATAGTGATTAGAGTTCAAATGGTTAGCTCATTAAAAATATTACCTAAAATAACTTTTTGTATCAAATCATTAATAAATTAAAATTTTTTTAATTTTTACCACTATTTTTAATTAGTACTCATCTAATAGGTTTCAACTTTGTTTTTTATCTTTATTAACATTAAGTGATTATTATATTTTTATTTTTACATTAATTTATCATAAAAAATATATTAGTTTAATAAAAAAAATTTTGCAATTAGATGAAAATATTAAAAAAATTTATACTTTATTTTAAAATAATATAATTTTTCTTTTTTAAAAATAGAAATTAGTTTGAGATTATACTATTATAATCAATTTTTATTTATTTATTTTCTTATTATTTTTTTTATAAAATTAATAATTTTAATAATAAAATATATAAAAAGAAAAAATATACTTAATTATTTTTAAATATATCTTTATCAGTTATTTAACATTGAATAATAACTATTAATTATTATATAACTAAACAGTTATATAAATCAAATTTGCTATCTATTATCCACTATCTATTATCTGTTATCTCTATCTGCTTTTTGCTATCTATTACCTGCTTTCTGCTAATTGTCACCTGTTAATTACTATCGCTATCGACTACTTATTATCTATTATTCACTAAATTTTAAATATTATACCAAACAAGCCTTGGGTAAGTAACCTGTCTTGTCCTATGATTCACCATCACGACTCGTCACTCCCAACCCCTTTTGTGCCCTTGACCAACTGCTTATTCATCACCATATAAACGATTAAATTTTTAATTAACCAATATTCGATTAATTGATGTTTCACTTTCTGGGTTGAACGTGCTTATTACGACCATCACGAAAGTTTTCTCTGGTTTTGGACTGAAATGAGGAAGTACAAAGGCTCGAGGTACTCGAGTCGGTGTGTAGGTCGTTTTTTTTTTTTTCTTTTTTTAAATTTAATTTAATTTTTTGTTTTAAATCTCGATAGATTACTCAAAATAGGGTAGTCATTAATTAATTACAAGCTTCAAATGCAAAACTTTCATTTTAAAATTTTAAAATTTAACTATTTTTATCTTTAATCTCTTGTTTGATTTAAGAAACCGAGGAAAGGGGAAAAAATGGAAGGAAATTCATTTTCCATCCCTCCCCTCTCCTTGCTTAGTTAGACTAAAATATAAAAAAATAAAAATAAAAACAAAGTGAGTGAAACCCCCTCTTCCCCCTTATTTTTTGTTATCTAAATAAGAAAATTTTATTCCCTTCCCTTAAATCAAACAAATTGCAAATGATAAACAAAAATAAATTTATTTAAAATCAATAAGAGTTTAGTGGTTTTCATACCTATTAATTTAAAATTCCTACTTTGAAAATTGGGATCAAGAGTAAAGTTCACACCCCTGCAATTGCTAAACAATAACCTTTAAAAAAAATTACATGAAAAATGAGAATTCATCGTAGCCCATTTAAAAGTGATGATTCATGAATCTGATTTAAGAATCAAACACAAAGGAGGTATAATAACAATCCACGTCCAAGCTGGTCTCGGCATCTTTACAATGGCCCAGAGCCTGCTAACCCACCACTCACCAGGCCCAATGCTAAAGCAATTTAATTTTATTTAGACTCAAAGAGAAAACTAAAATGTGATTTACAATTCGAACAGCATAATATTATCATTGAATAAGGATAAGCTTTTAGGTTATCTCCCTATTCAATGGTTCTTATTTTATAGTTTAATACATTTCAGACCACATTACTAGAACTTAAAAAAAAATAAGTCCATATAGAAAGCAAATTAATGCGTGCTTCTCCTGCATTTTGTAAAGCAGCAGATCCCATAATAATTGTTAAAGCCAAATCATCCCCAAGAAGCATCTTTTGATTCCTCCTTTAGTTCTTTTGAAAAGTTACACTGCACTCTTACAAGTCATCTGTCATCTTATTATTAAAAAAAAAAAAAGCCTGTCATTTGTAAAGTAAAATTTGTGAGATTTGTCTAATACAGTAGTTGTGGATCAGTAACTATATCTGGAGTTTACCCTCTAAACTAGATGGATGATGAAAAGGGCTAGGGTTTTTTGTCATTCAAAAAACAACTTAATCAAATTGCTATATCGAGATAGGGTTCAATTCGGTGTTGCTTAATTCACCTTCTAGCAAGTGTTAGGAGGATGATGAAATCTAGAAAAGATGGATAAATTTCAAGAAAATATGTAAAAGGAAAAGCATAAGAAAACATTTAGGGGTTGTTTGGCAGGGGCCATTACTTTTTACAACTTGCTTATAAGTATTTTTGTTACTATAAAATCTCTATTTTCTTTCATAGATTTTTCAAGGAAAAAATTGTGTTACGGTTTATTTTGTACAAACTACATTTTTTTTTAAGTACAAAAGTATTTATAAATATAAAAAAAATTTCTACCAAACAAACCCTTAATAATTGGATAAGATAAGATTTTGACAAATGTAAGTGACAATTGAAGTTGACAAACACTCCTAGAAATTGCTAAGCCAACTAAGATCGTTATAAGTATGCAAGTTGAGCAAGGGTGACAGCATCTACTCACATCCAATCATTTTCTGGATAAAGCATTTATCTAAAAAACTCAAAAGTTTATTTGGTGTAGTCCATGGTATAAACTATTACCCAAAGTTTAATGAAAACTGACTAAAACTAACCAAATTTTATTTCAATTGCAATTCCACCTTAATTATATGTTTGGATTGAGAGGAGAAGAGGGAAGAAGAAGATTTTTTAATTAATCAAATTATAATATTTTAAACATATTATAATTTAATTAATTAAAAAAACTTTTCTTTCTCCTTTCCTCCCATCCATTTCTTTCTACCCAAACACATTTAAACGATGTGGTCTGGAGTAGAGTGGTCTTGAAAAGCCATTTTTTCAATAGTGGAACTTACATCTATGAAGCTGTGGCACACAAAATTATAACAATATATGCATGTTGTTTCCCAATAGGGAATGCATAAATTAGGTATAGATGGGCATCCTCCACTCAATCCATTATCAGGTTTGAGAGAAGTGGGCCTTCTCCATAGATAAAAATATCTTGGGCCACAATATCCACAATCTTTTCTTGTTCTGACCTTTGAACAGAACCAGAGTGGCGAAGGGGCCTGCCCCTGTGTAGGTTTGTCTGATATTTTTTGAGTAACAATTACTATTAATTATGCAATCACAAACGACACCTGGCTAGCTACTTTTAAGCTACTTCAAAGTTTGTCTTGTTCTAACTTCATTTTTTTTTTTCCTCATTGATTTTGGTTTAATCAATCAATAATCTTTATCTTGCCTAGTAAAAAGCTATGAAGAAAACGAAGAGGCAAATTTCCCACCTTTTTCTTTGATTTGACGAACACTTCAAAAGTGGTAGTCATTTTCAACCAGACAAAAACATAACGCCAACCAATATAGACCATAGCACCTTAATTGCAAGTTGCAAGATCTCTAAGTTGAACTTTTTAGATTTTTTTTTTCACAAAAAAAAAATACTAATTAGAAGTTAATATCTGTTTAAATCAACAGTAAAATCAAACTTAAATAAACTTCACTTAGCTCTTGCGGAAGAGTGTGGTTCATCCACTGGACCACATAGGAGAGTTCAACCTTTTAGATTTTCTTTCAATGAACAAGAATGAATTAAAAACATGGCACAATTCTCATGCCTCTTCATCCAAGAAGGGGGTTATTTGCAAGATTCAAACATCCAATTGCTTTGGTCATATACCAACCATTCCACTAATTAGGTTTATAGGTAAAAAAAACCCAAAATTATATTAATAATAAAAGAAAAAAGTGTCAGTGATACTATCTTTTACGTTATGCCTTTTTTTTCTTTTTGTTTTTCTTTTTGGATAAAACATTCTCTTCCTTTTTAATGAAAATAAATCTTATAAACATCAATTAAAGTGCAACAGCGACAAATAGAATACAAATGACTACCTCCAAATCCTTCAAAAAAAATTCACAAGGGACCATTATTCTATGATTTTATAATGATATTAATCGGTGAGGTAACAACCCCACCATAACTTCTTTCCCAAATAAAATTTCCCAAATAAAATTGAAAATAAAAGGATACTCGATAAAACTTAAAAAGTTTTTAAAATTTTTTTTTATAAAATTTTAAATTTATAAAAGAAAAATTTAATTTTAAAATAAGTACTTCTTAAGTCTGGTTAAACAAGCTCTAAATCTAACTTTCTTAACTACAATAGAAAATTGACTTCCATACAATCTCACTCAAATCAAAGCAACTTTTGAAAAATTAGGGATCTCAACATGAAAACCTCGCTTTTTCCTCATTTGAAGATTCACTTCTTGTATGAACCACGTTGCTGTCAGGGCTTCTGGTTTATCAAGCTCCACCCCGACCATGACTATTCCTGAAAGCTCTCTCCACCTCCAGCCACCGGACCATCTCCATGCCTCTGTCAGGTTTGATATCTAGCCTCTATCCTTTTTTGCTACACAACAACCATGTAGAAGTAGTCCATTCACCTCTTGCTGCTCACTTGCAATTGCCACCAATGGAGCAAAAGAAAGCATCCATCCACAGCCATCACGCATAGGATTAGGATCTCTCGCAGGATTCACCACATCTCCGAAGATAAATTCTACCAAAGCACCAATCGGCAACTGAAGCAAAGAGAGAAAACAAAAAATTTCACACCGGCGGCAGAAAGCCAAAAAAAAAAAAAAAAAAAAAAAGAACCTAGCATTCTTATTCTTTTCAATTTAAAGAACTATTCTATTCGCTTTTGAATTATCCTTTCAACATTGTCTACATGACAGAGTTTTGTGTATTTAATTTACGTGGCATGTTAAAATATTAAAATTTAAAAGCATCTACACATAAACCAATATTAATAGAGAAATGCATGCTACGTGGAGCAAATGATCAAGAGATGGGAAATTCACCAAACCCCCAACTTCTCCAAAGTGCTTCAGCTATTCAAAATGTGGAAAAAGAAGGGTGAAGGATGAAACCAAGGTTGACTGAATGACTGTTGCCCCTATATTGCTTTTAATTTCCATTATGTTCTCCACTAATCTCAAGGGGCAAAACTACAGAACCTAGAAGAAGAGTTTCAAAGAAGTAATCCATAATTTCATATTGTACAGATTTTATTTTTTAAGGGGAAGAAAGTGGTAGGAATTGGGGAAAGCCTTTTACTGTAGACGTTTTGATTGAAGCTGGAGATTGAAGGAAAAAGAAGGCTGGGAAAGGTCTAGCAAGCTCTACTTTAAATCATGGCCCTTCAGAATGGACTTCCAATAACAACTCAAAGCCTTTTTTAAAGGTAATGGTAGTGGGGGTGGAAAGTTTGCCAGATTTTTTATTGGGGTTTAGAATCTGGCCACCTTCCAGCCACTAAGTCATACATTTTTTTTCTTCATTCCAACCCCGCTCCCCTCTTTTTACTTAATTAAAAATCAACATCGATCATTAGAAGTTGTTATCAATGGCAACAGGGCAACCATAGCCGTTGTTTTCAGTTGATGATGATACCCTCAAAAGATTATCTTCATTTCTGAATTCTAAATAAACACTGGTGTGTTTGCAAATAAATTTTAAAATTTGTTTGATTTAATTGTTATGAATTAAAGTTTACTGTTAAATGTTATGATTACATTGTCAATAAATTATTTTATAATTTGAATTATAAAACCACAAATTCTTAAAATTTTAAATAGAATTATCAAAGTGAAGTCACATTTTAAAATAATAAATATTTTCTAACAATAGGAAATTGGGAAAAGGAGGTACAAGGTCATTCGCATCGGCTCAAAAAACAGAAAAGATGGATGCAAATAATGTTTAAGAATACAAATTTAAATTCCTCTATTGATACCATATGTTATTTGAATATAAATAATTTTAATTGTCTGTTTTTATTACTTTTGAAAGTAAAAATTGCAACTTACTTTGAACAAGATAATTTTACATATATTTACAAGATTAGTCAAGTAAAGAATTCATATAATCAGGTTATATATATATATATATATATAATCCTTTTACAAAGCACAAATCACACTAGAAAATTAAACCGGTCGTCGAAACTATGGAATTAATGGACTCTAATTAATGCAATTGAGGCTACAAGTGCAACGTCCTAAAAATGATTTGTGCCTTGCAAGATTAAGATCGTGTACATTGGGAGCTCACTTGCCTTGTTCTTTCTCAAAATAGAACAGAGCTCAAACACGGACAACAATAGAAGGGACACGGTGATCGAACTTGGCTCTTTAAACGGAGCCGAGCTCGGTTAAAGGAATTTGCCCAAAAACGGTGGATACAATGTCAAAATGTGCTAGCTAGTCACTTCATTAAAGGGGGCCGTCTGCGTGGCCTAACACGCTTTTGAACCTTTTTTTTTTTTTTTTTTCAATAAATCAACTCTTTTGTCTTTTATATTTGGTCTATCTTGTTCATCTAAAGGCTTAAAGTTTTTATCTTTTGAATAGTAGCCATCGAATGAATCAACAAGATAGGCCAAAATATAATATTTATAAATGTTTTCAACAAGAGATAGGTAAATATATATTTTTATTATATACAAATCATGTAAATTTAAAATAATAGTTTAAATATATAAAATATGAGTTGAATAACATAATATTAGTGTAATTTTTGAGAAAGTTTTGTTTTATTATATACATTGGAGAGATAGTATTCAATTAATTATTATATTTGACAGTTAAATATATAAAAAAATTATATAAAATAATATTAAATGTAATAATATAGCACCAAAATAAATTTTTATATTGTTCTCAATTGTACATGCTCTAAGAAGAAACTAAGGCTGAGCAGACCAAGTACATAGACCAGGCCATGAAAAATATGCCTTGTTGGCTTTGGTGCCCATAGAATTAATACTAATCCACTTTCATAGTTATGGTATTATGATAATTTTTTTAAAGTCTATTGACGATTTGTACTATATGAATAACTTTTCTGTTTTTAAATCCATCTTCACCCATCTTAGAATTTAAAATTGAGACCCTCAACATCTCAACATGGAAGTTTAAATGCTTAATTATTAAGACATTTGCTAAGGGAGGTTGTGTCATGATAATATTTCGTTTTACATTTTATACTGCAAATCTAATCCTAATTCACTCTAATCAAGGATTTCTGGATGAACGCACTGAGATTCAAGTAATAAATTGAATGCGTCAGGTTCAATGAGGTATATATCGTAAGCTTGGAGTAATGAGATTAATTGCTTAATCCCTAATTAAGAAATGTTCTTTATGAGTAGATGAATGATTTGGATCAGGATGAATATGCATGAATTTGGAAGAATGCATGTGAAGGTGTTGAAAATCCCAGTTGATGTATATTGCACACAACATTCAATTCGTCCTACGTCTCGCCCAATTGACAATATATAATTAAAACTACCTCTACTTCATTTTCGTTGTCTTTTATTTATTTATTTTTTTTTTCACTCAACTTTAGACAAGACTCTAAGTACTTCTATAATTTTTCATCCCTATTCTTGATTTTTTTTTTTTTCTATCAGTACACTGATATATTAGGGATTTGATAATTAAAAAAATCATAACATTAAGTTCTTCATAATTTAGAACTTCCATTCTTTAAAACTTCTTTGACAGTGGAAGATTCAAGTTTTAAAACTACTTTGGCAATAGGATTTGACCATTTCTTCAAAATTATCAACTGGGCGATGTAGGACCATAAACAGAGCTGGGACATAAATGAATGAAAAATGTGATGTCTATCAATTACAAATGGGTCAATATTCAAGAACTGAGGAGTTTAGGGGTTACTTTGTACATATTAGTTTAGCAGCTATATATCAAAACACTATAAGGTCAAGGACTTCTGCCATCATTTTTTGTGGTATTTCTTTACTCCTTTTTTAATGTGCTGTATGATTCAATACTGACCGCTCTTACTGCTTGAAACATTAATTATTTGTTGGAATATAATATTAAGTGCATGTGAGAGGGAATAATTAACTCTAATGTGGAACATCCGAACATAAGAAAAAAAAAAAAACTTCTAATGTTATTCTATATTATATTTGTCTCAGGGGTTTTGTACAGTTTAGACACAATGATTATGAAGTTGGCTAGAGCCTAGAGAGCAACCACTAACATTGTAAAATTTTCATTAGAAGTGATAGTGGAAGATGAAACAACAACCCACCAAAATGACTGAATTTTTATTAATTTATCTTTATCATGCGTAAGTGATTAAATCTATTTATTTAAAAGAAAAAACCTAACTTATTTGTGTTAAAAATTATTAAGTTATGTGTAATGACTATATCTAAGTTATTTAAAAGAAAAAACCTAACTTATTTGTGTTAAAAATTATTAAGTTATGTGTAATGACTATATCTAAATGACTTAA